CTCATAATGGGGAAATTATAGAAAAGAAATAATAAGATAAAGAGAATAAATTTCAACGCACCTCAATAAACGGAGCCCCACATACAGTACCTCAGAGAGAGAGAGAGAGAGAGAGAGAGAGAGAGAGAGAGAGAGAGAGAGAGAGAGAGGAGAGAGAGAGAGAGAGAGAGAGAGAGAGAGAGAGAGAGAGAGAGAGAGAGAGAGAGAGAGAGAGAGAGAGAGAGAGAGAGAGAGAGAGAGAGAGAGAGAGAGAGAGAGAGAGAGAGAGAGAGAGAGAGAGAGAGAGAGAGAGAGAGAGAGAGAGAGAGAGCGGCTGGGAGAGCGAAAGACAGACGGAACCACAGAGAGCGATGAAGATGATATTGGGCCACGTTAACATACCAGAGAAAGCACTACCAAAGCTGATCACAAACAAAACATAAGAAGCAGATTTGAGCACAGCATCGACATCATTCTCTATGACGTCATGCGAATGTAAAATCATCATGTATAGTATGCTATGAGTGCAGTGACTTAGCAGTGAGACCCGTCACTGCATGCAAGTACCCCGAATGATGACGTAATGCCCTAACACAGTGCTGGTTCTCAGAGCAAAACAGTACTGTCGGTCGCCAGAGAACTGGAAGAGGGGGGTCAGCCCTCCTAGCCTAGAAAATTTCTATTTCAAGTCTATGCCAGTCGAGTCACCTTGTGTACATTGGTATGCTGTGCTTGGTGAACATTTAGGCTGGTCTTTCTTCGGCGCTCCGTTCTTCATCGCCCAATACAGTAAAACCTGTAGCAACAGACCACCGTGACTAGCGACCAGCCTGCTACTACAGACCACTTCGCCAGGCACGGACGGTCTCACATTGATATTAATGGTTGTGCGGTGCAAACCTCTAAATGAGGACCACCTGTCACTAAAGACCGCTTTCTCTGGCCCCAAGGGGTGGTTGTTAGTCACAGGTTTTACAGTAGTACTGTAGGTAAAGAATATGAGGTGGACAAGTAAAGTTAACGTACCAGGACACGGTTTCCTCGGAGCTGCTGGGGGCTTACTGATCGGAGATGCATCTGGCTCAGCGGCCTGGGGTGCTGCTGCTGCAGTATATGAAAAAAAGAAGCACACATTCCTGCTAGAACAAGGCAGCGAGGCATACCCAAATTACCTAGTATGGCAACAAATATCTAACGTCATGCACAGTCTACTTCATCTAAAAATGCACCCCAGGTTTTTTGCCGTCTCTCACACACACTAAAACACAACACAATAATGCCCATCCGCAGATGACGATAGGTCCTGAAAGGACTGACGGTGTTTCAGTCACGGAGAACAGAACTTCGATCGGCGAGTGAGGTTCTGGTGACTGCGAAACTCCCGGCCACAGTGACAACTGATGTCATGAGACACAGTTAACACACGCGTACGTGCTCACACACACACACACACACGCACACACAGCGGTAGACACGTGGGGTAGTGCATTCACTGTTTGCATTACGCAGAGCTCAATGACTTGTTAGTTCGAGTAATTTGCCAAGGTAGGTTCGGGCCTGGTTAAAATCTGGCTTTGAAAAATTGAACACATTGACCTTTTCAGTTTTATCCAGTTCAGCCTCATTTTCTCTGTACTGTGCTGATGCATCCACAAAGAACGAAACAGTTTCGTCCGCCGATTTAGTATACAAGCCCCCTCTCCCACCTCCCCCCCCCCCCCCCCCCCCCGGCAAACCCTTTTTTTCTTTCTATATTAATTTCAGTACATGTATAGCGTGTAGATTTAGTAAAAAGGAAGTTTGAAAACTGTCCGCCCAAGCACTGTGCGACCCAAGCGCAGAGCATACCGTTTTTCCCGTTTTTAAGTCGATCCCTGTTATAAGTCGAAGCCCCCTACTTGGAACCTCAATTTCCCGGATTAACGGCAGATGAACCCCGATTGTAAGTCGACCATCCCTTTCCTAGTTCCGTTTTTAGGTCGTAAAAGGTAATATTATACGGAGCGCGGTGACAAGTGAATGCTCACACAGTAGAACATTGTACAGGTGTAATTCGTTGCACAGCCAAGTGACCTCACCCGCTGCTGTTTGGTACTTGTCAATCTGGTCCATTTCTCCAGGATCGCTCTTACGTTGGCCTCGGCCAACTTTGCGAACGCACTCCAAGAATAGATGGAACGATCTGTCGTCTCCCGATTGTACGGCGTCCAACAGGGCCTCGTTTTGCAAAGCCGGACCTATGAGAGCTGCGAACTTCGTCTTTTGGCTCTGAGTGATCAGGCTTTGCGACGCACATTCCCTTCGTAAATCATCCGCTGTGAACGTGCTGATCATTGTGGAGGTAAGTCCCTTGAAAACTTGCTGTCCCAAGCGGATGGCATCTTGAATCACGTATCACGTTCACGGTAGTCTTCACTAAGCTGTAGCAAATTGAAACAGAACATAAAAACAGCAAGCCATTAATCCATGATGACATGACTCATTCGAACAGCGGGACGGAAGAATATTTTTGGAGCTCTCGCATTTGGCGAACGGCAGTGGCCGTCTATCACGGCCACGCCATGAATGTCAAGGAAATGTCGTCGGGTTTGGCAAGGAAGTAGGAGTGCATCCCTGAGAAAGATGTTTGGTGAACAAGACATGTCAGGGAATAATTTAACCAGTATTGCATCGCAATAATTTAACCAGTAACTGCGATGCGTATTGATTGTTCACTGTACCAGGGTACAGTGAACAATCAATACGCATCGCACAGTGATGCACAGTGTACATGCCGGGTGTGTCTCTTAGGGATGAAATAGATGCACAGAGCTTCGAAAGTGTTGAGCTATGCGTCCTGGCACCAGATTAGGTTTGCAACTAAGGTGTTACAATGTACTTGTGGTCTGAGCTGGCACTCTGGTCAGCTCTGCAGAAGGTCAATGTTGTCAAGTGTTAAAAACAATTGCTATGCGACATTTTCGAATTGCTATTCAAATTCGATTCTGCAAAGCAAAATTGATATGCAAAACCGAAAGTAAATTACTCCCTGCATGTATACCCCCCCCCCCCCCCCCTACTCCCTGCATGTATACCCCCCACCCCCTACTCCCTGCATGTATACCCCCCCCCCCCCTACTCCCTGCATGTATACCCCCCCCCCCTACTCCCTGCATGTATACCCCCCCTACTCCCTGCATGTATACCCCCCCCTACTCCCTGCATGTATACCCCCCCCCCCCTACTCTCTGCATGTATACCCCCCCCCCCCCCCTACTCTCTGCCCAAGTATTTGACACGCAAACAGTCAGTGTGCAGGTTACATCAATGTAGCCCCCCTTCCCCCTTCCCTCTCCTGCCCAAGGGGGGGGGGGGGCAACATGATGTAAACATTGTGTAGGTAACTCCAAGACCCCCCCCCCCCCCATCCCCTCCCGTTCTGCCCAAGCCTATCCAGGGGATCCTTTACGCGAAACCCAATACATACAATCAAAATTAATATGCTACAGTTCTATCGTGGAAATCATCCAGTAACTATTATTTTTGTTTGAAGAAGGGCTGAGGCTTCCTGCAGCTTCATCTGTGAAAAGAATTCGGGTGGACACACCCATTCCCATAGCGCTGCACATCACATCCGAACCAGTTCCGTTATTTTTTACGTTTCGGCACTTGGCCATCGTCAGGTAATAACAATGAATACCGTGGAAGCCACACCAGAGCAGTATATGCGCAGAGTGTAGCGCCAAAAAAGATGCGAATTATGTCACCTAGTATGCAGAAGGGGGGGGGGGGGACAGAGAGAGAGAAAAGGCGCAACTAGCACATCACGGGGGAGAAGCAGCAGAAGGTAGCGCATTGTGCTCTGTGAATGGCCTTACGCAGAGTGTAGCGCCACTCTATTATTTTTGTGTTCATCTCTTTGTGCCCGGATGCATGCAGTTATGTTTAGTCAGCATCATGTGCGTCACGCACAATCAACAACATCACTTTCTCCGACGCCATGCGCAGGGGTGGCAGGTAATACTAGGGACAATCAGCAGGCGCGTGCCCCGTATGGGTTCCTGGGTCAGTGGGTGCCCGGAACCCCCCTTTTTCCGCTCAAAATGCAGGATTTTGCATCATTTTTTGAAATTTTCCCGGGGACGCCCCCCCCCCTTGAAGGGCACCGGTGCACGCGCCTGATCAGCGACTGTGATCCACGATTCACAAGTTTTGTATGTGTTTTTGGTCCCTGCGACATGTTGATGCTTGGCAAAGTACAGCGCGGCTCAATGAAATCCAGTGGCGCCACTCAAGTACGCGCCGGGCGTTGCGCAGCCCAAGACCAGCGAACACCGAGCTGGGAAGAAAGGTGCAAGGCGCAAACGTGAGTGACGCGACTGGATTTCATTGAGCAGTGCGCAGTGCCTAGTACTGTAGCGGGAAATCCAGTCGATTGACCGGGGCCCGGCGCCCTTGGCGCGTACAGAACGTTGCATGCAGACTTGCAGTGCACAGTCTAGTCATGCTGATCCAATGCAACCAGCGTGCTGCACCGCATAAATATGCGTACGCGTTCGTCCTGCTTACCCACGGCTGCTTGGCCAGCGCCCTGGGGCCGCTAGACGTGCGACTGGATTTCCATGTCCACGGCAGTACATGGAAGTAAATTGCACATGCGCCCTCCATGGAAGAGAACTGTACAGCAACACCTGGCTTCCAGTAACATTCGGATCTTGCAATAATACTTTTCCATAACACTGGTGCCACCTATCAGCACTCACAGGCGTCTGCTTTTCTCAAAATGACGTCGAAGTCACACGGATGGCCTTGCCAACTCATGGCTTTGAGAACGAGTCAGTGTCCATGTTGCTTTTGTCGCATGATAAGAGCAACATAATAATTGCATCCGAGCACATTATCCAAAACATTTTTTTCCATGCCCCTCTTTTCCAGTGAAGTGTGAGTGAACTCACGCTATGACTGATATTCTAGTAACTACGACTGTACATGACTGTATCACTTTCCAGCGTTCGTTTACTAGTACATGCGCGCCCTACACTTTGGGGTGGGGGCGGGGGTGATCTACCCAGCCCATTGCCGCTCACGGTTCACACCCCGTTTCACCGGCTTTTGACGTGAGCATCTAGGGAGTAGGGGAGGTCAGCACAGCCTGGTGTCCTTCAAGTATCCTTTTCTTACGCTCCCTTCCATTGCTAGCAGGACACAGGAAAGGTGCATCCAGCACCGGGTGCGATGGTGCACGGAAAATGCATTGTCCATCTCCTGCGATGGTGCAGGCCCCCATGCTGACCTAGTGGAGATAATAATAATTATATTATCATCTTGGTCCCCTGTTCACATCCTAGGCATCCTAGGCTTGCAGACTGCGATCGCTGAATGAAAATCCCGCGCAAAGTTCGTTCAGGAAAGATAAGAAGAAACATTGCTCTGGGATCCCTGAATTGTTCTTACCGTGATGTGTTGGGGTGAGGGTCAAGCAGCGAGCAATCGCAGCCACAGGGAGCATCTAATAATCAGATTTTCCAGCAGGCGTATGGTCTGCTTGGGCAAGCGGACACCCACGAACCGAGAGACTCGAGCCACTGCAGTGAAGATCCGGAAAGACTTCAGCACAACCAAGCACTGCACGCAGATCAAAGTAGTCCGTGGGTTACACAAACAGGTACATGCGTGTACCAGGTGTACCAGGTGTAGGTCTACGGTGTAGATGTACTCTGCAGCTAGATTCGCCTTTCTGAAAGACTTCTGAGTCTGTGTGTAGTCTAGATCTACTGCTCATTCTCAGACATAGTGGTTCTGCAATGATTTTGTCATCGATTCGTGATCATACTCTGTCTTCATAGTCATCATGGTCATCTTATCATAGCGCGAACCTGTACTGTACTGTAGCCTGTGCCTGTGGCTGCAGTCGACAGTCGTAGATCTAGTAAGTAGTGCAGAACACTAATAAATTAAAATTAAAATAATAAATTATTTTATTTATTTATTTTTATTATGAGTATACCATGTGTACTGTACTCTGTAGTCTGTAGTCTCGATAGGCCTAGCCCTGGCCTAGGCCCTAGCTGGCGCTAGTCTTTGATCCCATCCTGCATCCTGCATGCAGAACTCTGCCTCAGAAGTAGAAACCAAAATTTGGCGAGAAGGGGAAATACCTTGATTGACTCCCGACCCCCACTTGATCTCTACGTCATGGTGTCCCTTGTAGGGAAATTAACCGGTACTTCACACAAAAAAGCGCAGGCCGAAGATGTGTGCGTTCGTTCTCTGGTGATTCATCTTCATGAAACTCTGCGCCACCGCCGCCACGCCACCGCAATACAGAATCTGATTGTCTTCGCTCTCCTCTTTCTGTGAAGAAGGCTGTGCATCGAGAATTAACTCTCTTGAGCCAGTACAAGATCACGACTCGCTCCAAGGCAAGTGTGAACTGTCTTTTAGTACTCGTGTTCGCGTTTCCTGCGTTACGTTCGCGTTCAAAGCTACATGACTGTGTACAAGTCATGTAGCTGCGAACGTTCGTAGAATCTACGAAGTAACGTTGTTTCGCTTTTCGTGACCAGGTGACGTCAAACGAAAATTCGCGCGAACGTTCGCTCTGCAAAACCTCTAGTCCTTTTGCTTTGGTTCTGACTTCACGGTCAGGCTTCACGCTATTGCCAGTATTGGTGTTGTGAATAATCCCGTTCTCAAAGATTAAGTATTACTATAGTATTACGGTAGTAGTATATGTACATGATGGCCTACATGTCATGTAGTCATGTACATTGTACCTGTCCAACACATCAAATCAAACCAGTACTGCCCACAGACTGTCAGTCACGGGGCCACAGTATGGGTTATACATTTCAATTTATTCACTAATAACTTTATAATTATACTCTTGCTACCACTATCTAGCACCACTACTGTTACGTTCATTCTGCACATGAAGTAGAAGAAGAACAACCGGATCCTTCATCCTGTCCTCTGTCCACTTCCTTGGGTATGCCACTTTTCTATGCAGAATGTGCGCAATCGCGCCTCCTCATTCCTTTATCTCCTGTTGATTCCGTTATCTAGTGATATCGACGCCCGCCGAGGAGCCCTCAATGAGCGAAAGAGCTGCCTGGAGGATATGGAACATCTCAGTACCCAAGAACAAACTAATACTTCCTCGCTATGGTGTGGTGTGGTGAATGTGGGCCAAGCGCGCAGTGTGGAGAGGTGGACAGTTCAACTTAACTAATGTCAAATGGTGGAGTTCGTCGCTACTTCTGTGGCAATGTATAGGTGATCATATGGTTTCTCTCTTTAATAAAACCCCTCCTTATCTTTATTGCCGTGGTTGGCTAACACCCAAACAGAGTAAAGCGATGATTCGCACCCATATATTATTGCAATACATGTACATGCAATATTATACTTCAGTAACAATGTCATATTAGCACACGAAGGGACGAAGCCAGTTGTAAATCTAATGAGGCCTTTCGGACCATTCCTAGAAATCTCCGCCAATATACTGTACCAATCGACATCGTTGTGCTTCGTCACATTATCACCATGTACTGATTTGAGAAGCAATGGTACGTAAGGCCTCATCAGATTTAAAACTGACTCGTTTTTTCGTGTGCTAAGACGTTTCCCTATGCATGACTAAGTCATAAGGCTGAGTTTATTTAATATTATAACAAATTCCACACAGTCACTCATGCACTCATGATTAGGGCAGAGTCGGGTAGCATTTTCTTCGGGTATCGGGTCCGGGTAGTTTTCCACGGGTAGCACGGGTACCCGATCGGGTAATGTTTCCATGGTAAGACCACAATGCACACCGGCCCCTTCCCTTGCGCATTGGGTAGACATGCGTGAATTATTTGTATATGTGCACTGTACATAATGTCATCTGCGACTTCGGGTTTTCGGGTACTATTCGGTACCCGTCTACCCGAGGTCCTCACGGGTAGCACGGGCACCTGACTACCCGTGCACACCACTACTCATGATGCCTATCGCTAGTTTTTTCTTCTTTCGTTTCGTACAGTGTACATGTCGTTTAGGGGCTGTCCGTAAATATCGAACTTTTTTCACCAAACGAATTATTTTAGTTTAGACCCAACCCCTCCCTCCCTCCCCCTCAGAACGTAAAAATTGTTGACATATAAATGCATATACAACAAAAGTCGCAAGTGTGTCACTGCTCCTATGGCCATGTACATGTATCGAAGTTTTCTGAAACGAAATTGGTCAACCCCCTCCCACCCCATAACGAAATTATTTCGTTTCGTGAAAAAAGTTTAATAATTACGGACGACCCCTTAGTGTTGTCACAATGCGTATTATGCTGATCACATCTCTTCTCTTCAAACATATGCAGAAGGAGAGAGGGATGGGGAGAGAGAGAGAGAGAGAGAGAGAGAGAGAGAGAGAGAGAGAGAGAGAGAGAGACGGAGAGAGAGAGAGAAAACTGCTACATCGCAGTATGTCCATGCACACAAAAAATACTAAAATAGTGTATACGAATCATAAAGATACAGATGTGCTCGCCATCAGACTAAGTACTGGGGGCTAAATCTATCGGAGCTCGTGAGGAATCAAATCCTCCATCCGCTGTAGCATGTCGTCCGCTTTGGAAATTTTCTTAACAGCTTTGTACAGCTTGATGAAACCTCCCATCAGCTCAGACTTGATCATCTTCAGCAGCATGGAATTGTGTGCGTGGTCATCATCTTTGGTTTCAATGCTTTCAAGACGGTAGACCTGGTCGATGTTTAGCAGCTCAGTAGTCTGTGCAGCTGTCCGGAAGTCCCTTGCTGGCAAAGTGCAGAGCCATGGCTGAATAGACCGACAGAACGCTGAGGACCGAAACGGGTCCTCTGCTACCGTTTCCCCTACACGTGAATGCAGAAAAGCAAAGGACAGAAAGATAACAGCACTCGATAAGAAAACATTAAGTGTCGTGCAATGTTATCGCATGAGCTGATTGTTTAGTAACTGGTGGTGTTAGTGGCCATTATGGCGTAACTTGTAGTTCCTCGGTCCTTTTTTTCTTTGCTATATATTTATCCTTGGCTCTCCATCCCAGTCCATGATGAGATGAAAATAGTGATACATGTATAGTCGCATTGATTTGAATGCGTTCTCGGAGATCCACAATTATAATATTATAGAATTATAAATCCTACATAAAGTAAACCAAGGATCATCCAAACCAAGATAACTATTCACCACAGTGGAATGTACCCTGATTAGACACGCACTTACAGACATTTTTCAACACATCGTTTTTTCCTATAACAGCACGATTGGATAAGAAGTGTGTCAGATCCTTATTAGAATTCCCTGTTGCAGTAGGGTGGATTGTATCAGTATTCCATTTTGACTCCCCCGTTCGCAGTACGAACATTCACAAATCCTATCATCAAATGGTTTAACACAGACCTCTAGAAAACAAACATTGGGAGCACTGTGTTAAACCATCCTATGAGAAGTTGTAAAAACAAAATGTCCGCCACAAGCTGAATTAGCTTTCACGTCTTTCGTAAAGGAGCTGTGGTATGGCCTGTGGTATCATTTCATCATGGATATCAAGCTACTGTAAGTCAACAAAATATTCGGCGCATATTTATTTTCGGCTATTTTCGGCCTGGTCATGTTTGGCCGAAAATTTGCTGCGGCCGAAATTTTGTTTTCCAAGGTTCAGCGTGACAGTGAATACAGGTGGAAGTAGTACAGGTCGAAAATTTGATGCGGCCAAAATGGGTTTTATTTAGCCCTGGGAGGCCTAAGTGTGAATGGGCCGAAAATTAGTAGATTTACAGTACGGCACAAAAATGCTTTGGCACAAGGTGGCTGTGCCCGTCCCAAAGCTTCATTACTTTTACTGTGACTTTCCCAAGATTGATATCACAGCACCAAAAAGTGGTAGCGCGGGACCCACTTGGTGGCCATTTTCCATTTTTACTCGCTGCATATGGACATTGGCGGCCTCATGATTCTGACTCCAGAATGCCATCTTCAAGTGTCGTTATTGCATTATGGTTCTATCAAATCTAAATTCTTACCTGTTGCCTGATCTTGTTTGCTAGGATCTGTTGTTTTGGACACGGGAGTGGCAGATTCTGCAAATACAGAAAATGAGCCCAGAGCATGATTATGTTAGCAAGTGCATTTCCAGCGTTGGTCTATTGGTCAAAAAAGTAGGGATAACAGCGAACGCAGTGCGCAGCGTGTTCACGCATATTTTACGTCATACAAAAATGTATGAAGCGCACGGCCGACTAGAAAAACGTCGATCGCAGAAATCAGGTCGCGGGTCAGGCTCAGAGCAGGCAGGCTAGGAGTAAAATTCAAATCTCGACAAGAAGGCTGTTTGTTGGTTTGTTTGTGCTCTTGAGCTCGATCCGTTCAGGAAAGGAGACATCAGGAGCTAATTATCTTTGATGCCTCTGACTGGTAAACGTTCTCAAGCAAAGACATGACAAAGGAAGAAGACGTTCGTAGCTGGATGGAGCTATGTTTGCACCAAAGAACAGTATTCGTATTTACTTGTGAACTTGGGGGATTTAGTAAAAAGGAAATTTGAAAACTGGCCGCCCCAGCACTGTGCGGCCCAAGCGCAGAGCATACCGTTTTTCCCGTTTTTAAGTCGATCCCTGTTAAAAGTCGAAGCCCCCTACTTGGAACCTCAATTTCCCGGTTTAACGGCAGTTGAACCCCGATTGTAAGTCGACCGCCCCTTTCCTAGTTCCGTTTTTAGGTCGTAAAAGGTAATATTATACGGAGCGCGGTGACAAGTGAATGCTCACACAGTAGAACATTGTACAGGTGTAATTCGTTGCACAGCCAAGTGACCTCACCCGCTGCTGCTCGATACTTGTCAATCTGGTCCAGTTTCTCCAGGATCGCTCTTACGTTGGCCTCGGGCCCAACTTTGCGAACGCACTCCAAGAATAGATGGAACGATCTGTCGTCTCCCGATTGTACGGCGTCCAACAGGGCCTCGTTTTGCAAAGCCGGACCTATGAGAGCTGCGAACTTCGTCTTTTGGCTCTGAGTGATCAGGCTTTGCGACGCACACTCCCTTCGTAAATCATCCGCTGTGAACGTGCTGATCATTGTGGAGGTAAGTCCCTTGAAAACTTTGCTTTCCCAAGCGGATGGCATCTTGAATCACGTTCACGGTAGTCTTCACTAAACTGTAGCAAATGCAAACAGAACATAAAAAACAACAAGCCATTAATCCATGATGACATGACTCATTCGAACAGTGGGAAGGAAGAATATTTTCGGAGCGCTCGCATTTGGCGAACGGCAGTGGCTGTCTATCACGGCCACACCATGAATGTCAAGGAAATGTCGTCGGGTTTGGCAAGGAAGTAGGTATGCATCCCTGAGAAAGATGTTTGGTGAACAAGACATTTATACCCCCCCCCCCCCCCCCACCCTCCCTACTCTCTGCCCAAGTATTTGACACGTAAACAGTGTGCAGATAGTATCAATGTAGCCCCCCTTCCCCCTCCCCCTTTCCGTCTCCTCCCCCTTTCCATCTCCTGCCCAAGGGGAGGGGCAATATTATGTACACATTGTGTAGGTAACTCCAAGACCCCCCCCCCCCCCCCCCCATTCCCTCCCGTTCTGCCCAAGCCTATCCAGGGGATCCTTTACGCGAAACCCAATCCATACAATCAAAATAATACGCTACAGTTCTATCGTGGAAATCATCTTTCCAGTAACTATTATTTTTGTGTTCATCTCTTTGTGCCCTGATGCATGTAGTTATGTTTAGTCAGCATCATGTGCGTCACGCACAATCAACAACATCACCTTCTGCGACGCCATACGCAGGGGCGGCAGGTAATACTAGGGACAATCAGTAGGCGCGTGCCCCGTATGGGTTCCTGGGTGCCCGGAACCCCCCCCCTTTTTTCGGCTCTAAATGCAGGATTTTGCTGCATTTTTTGAAAATTTTCCCGGGGACGACCCCCCCCCCCTTGAAGGGCACCGGCGCACGCGCATGATCAGCGACTGTGATCCACGATTCACAAGTTTTGTACGTTGTTGGTCCCTGCGACATGTTGATGCATGGCAAAGTACAGCGCTGCTCAATGAAATCCAGTCACGCAACTCAAGTATGCACCGGGCGTTGCGCAGCCCAAGATCAGCGAACACCGGGCTGGGAAGAAAGGTGCAAGGCGCAAACGTGAGTGACGCGACTGGATTTCATTGAGCAGCACTGCGCATGCAGTGCCTAGTGCTGTAGCGGACATGGAAATCCAGTCGATTGACCGGGGCCCGGCGCCCTCAGCGCGTACAGAATCACAGACGTGCAGTGCACAGTCTAGTCATGTTGATCCAATGCGACCAGCGTGCTGCAACGCATAAATGTGTGTACGCGTTCGTCCTGTTTACCCACGGCTGCTTGGCCAGCGCCTTGGGGCCGCTAGACGTGCGACTGGATTTCCATGTCCACGACGGTACATGGGAGTAAATTGCACATGCGCCCTCCATGGAAGAGAACTGTACAGCAACACCTGGCTTCCAGTAACATTCGGATCTTGCAATAATACTTTTCCATAACACTGGTGCCACCTATCAGCACTCACAGGCGTCTGCTTTTCTCAAAATGACGTCGAAGTCACACGGATGGCCTTGCCAACTCATGGCTTTGAGAACGAGTCAGTGTCCATGTCGCTTTTGTCGCATGATAAGAGCAAAATAATAATTGCATCGGAGCACATTATCCAAAACATTTTTTTCCATGCCCCTCTTTTCCAGTGAAGTGTGAGTGAACTCACGCTATGACTGATATTCTAGTAACTACGATTGTACATGACTGTATCACCTTCCAGCGTTCGTTTACTAGTACATGCGCGCCCTACACTTTGGGGTGGGGGGGGGGGGGTGATCTACCTAGCCCATTGCCGCTCACGGTTCACACCCCGTTTCCCCGGCTTTTGACGTGAGCATCTAGGGAGTAGGGGAGGTCAGCACAGCCTGGTGTCCTTCAAGTATCCTTTCTTACGCTCCCTTCCATTGCTAGCAGGACACAGGAAAGGTGCATCCAGCACGGGTGCGATGGTGCACGGAAAATGCATTGTCCATCTCCTGCGATGGTGCAGGCCCCCATGCTGATCTAGTGGAGATAATAATTATATTATCATCTTAGTCCCCTGTTCACATCCTAGGCATCCTAGGCTTGCAGACTGCGATCGCTGAATGAAAATCCCGCGCAAAGTTCGTTAAGGAAAGATAAGAAGAAACATTGCTCTGGGATCCCTGAATAGTTCTTACCGTGATGTGTTGGGGTGAGGGTCAAGCAGCGAGCAATCGCAGCCACAGGGAGCATCTAATAATGAGATTTTCCAGCAGGCGTATGGTCTGCTTGGGCAAGCGGACACCCACGAACCGAGAGACTCGAGCCACTGCAGTGAAGATCCGGAAAGACTTCAGCCCAACGAAGCACTGCACGCAGATCAAAGTAGTCCGTTACACAAACAGTTACATGCGCATGCGTGTATCTATCTACCAGGTGTACATCTACTAGTAGTACTACTCTGCAGCTAGATTCGCCTTTCTGACAGACTTCTGAGTCTGTGTGTAGTCTAGATCTACTGCTCATTCTCATAGAGACTTAGTGGTTCTGCAATGATTTTGTCATCGATTCGTGATCATATTGTCTTCATAGTCATCATGGTCATCTTATCATAGCGCTAACCTGTAGCCTGTGCCTGTGGCTGCAGTCGACAGTCGTAGTGAGTAGTGCAGAACACTGAACAGTCATGTAGCTGACACAACAAGTAAAGACTACAGTCATGACTCATGTACCATGTGTACTGAGTCTGTAGTCTCGCGATAGGCCTAGCCCTAGGCCCTAGCTGGCGCTAGTCTTCGATCCCATCCTGCATCCTGCATGCAGAACTCTGCCTCAGAAGTAGAAACCAAAATTTGGCGAGAAGGGGAAATACCTTGATTGACTCCCGACCCCCACTCGATCTCTACGTCATGGTGTCCCTTATACTAAGTTAGTTATAGGGAAATTAAAGGGAAACTGAACGCCAAAAATAAGTATGGCTTATCCGAAGGAGAATCGGGCACTGATTGCGATGAGCTATGTCTCGAGCCGATCAGAGAAGAGGAACCGTGTCAAATTTCATAAATAACACCTTCCATATTTGGAAATTGGGCTAGATGACGTGCGTACTGCTTAGCTGTCACCATGCTGTGCATGCTCAGCAGTGTAATTGAATGGAAGAAAACAATTACTTTGGTGTTTTGCAGCTCTGTTTCGTTCCCTGACGGTAACCAAATCTAGATGTAGGAATCTGTTGAGCAGGAGAGTGACACATGTCTTCCCGAGGGCTGTCCAGGCTGCAGTGGTGATGAAGAAGACACGATCATCACCCCGAGATCCATTGTAGCGAATTGGAAAACTCATGGTGAATTTGCTTCCACTCCAAGGCAATGTCGAGGTATGAAGGGTGCTTGTAATGCCTTCCAAAGTGAAGAGGAGATGAACATGGCTTTGCATAGCTGTTGTTCTACGCCAACTTACCTACTCTTGCTGGTACCGTAGTGGCATATTGCAAATTTCGTGGACGAACAACTCTAGTCACTAGTGGCTAGACTAACAGGTGAGATTTTTCAATTTGACAAACATTGTTTTTGTTTGAGAACTGACAGTGGCAGTCATTAGACTCAGTAGGTGTCTCTCTGCTGCTTCTTTCCCTTCGTCGGTAGGGTTGTGCTTGAAGTAAAAATAAATAGAAAATGTGGAACAAAAATCTGATCATATATTTCGAATTTCAACTTCAAAGTATGTGTACATCAAATCACAAAAATGTCAAGGTGGTGCTGTGCATTGAAAAAGACTGGGAGCTGGCAGCAATGGAAAGGGTAGAAACGAAACCTGTTCTGTAGAGGCGTGCTCCTGCCTCGGCACACACCCAAACCACACAAAGGACCAGCTCGCGACTATGAAGAGAACTCTGTTAGAAAACTCTGGCTCCAAGCCGCAATTGCTTGAAACCTTTCTCCGAACTCGTAAGTACTACAGCCTACTCTAGCCAACTCACTACTACAGTGAAAACGTCTAGCTTATAACACTGGCATGCCAAGAACTCCATCAACAGGCGCGAAAGAAGGTGAAGACAAAGCCTGTGACAAAGCCTGTGACTTTAAAGTGTGAACCCTAACGAAAGTCACAGCTACATGTAACACGAAACGAGGATGCATGTCAGTGACATGTGCGACCTCCTGAACATTCTCCCCTTCCCGATATGTTGAAAAGTAACATCGAAAAGCATATCGCAACTCAACAAACAAATTTCCAATGCGACAAAAGCATTATTCCGAAAAGCTGTTGAAGAAATACAGCAAATGAACAATGTGAACACATTCAAGAAATAGTGAATCAAACTTTCCTTGAAATCAGTTTCACAAACGCCTCCGGCTGGTTGTTGTCACCTAGCCAATGTGACACCAGGGGCTTTAGCACAAGCCAAGCGGACATAGTCGCGTGATAGGGCGTGACTTCTCCTTGCCGCCCACAAGCACCTTAGCCACTCGTACATGTCCATCTGGACCAGGAAAGACTGCCGTAATTCTTCCCAACGGCCAGTGCCCTCGTGGCGTGTCGGGATGAAGAACGTCTGGTTGAGTATTTCTCTCCGGTGGTCGCCACAAGAAACGCAAGTACGGTTGGTCCTCGGAGTGATTTCGAATCTGAAGGTACATCTCCCGAATATCACAAACGATGGTTACCGAGTTGCGCCGGAATCCGAGCAGCACTTCCAGTATCTCTCGCTGCAGCCAAGGGCCCGGCTCTACGCAGTCGCTGAATACCATGCTGTAATTGTCGGGCAGTTTTGATTTCTGGCCATTCCATTGAAGGTGAATCTCGTTCCCAGCCCCGTCGAGTTGCCGCATTGACTGCTCAACTTCAGGCTTCACACTGCGGTCCTTCATGTGCCAGGAGGGCTCAGGGCTGATACCGCCTTGATCAACTTCCCGTTGCCGGTTCAGCTGTACGCTACAGTAGGTGCTGTTGGCGCGGGTTGGTCGATCATCATTGTTTAATACTGCTCCGATACATGTCCAACCTAATGGCGTTCTGCGAGCTAGCGGTTCTCCCGGCTTGCCATTGACTTCCTCCCAGCAAGAATGCAATTCACTATGATCACTGCCAATTAGAAGGTCCACTGATTCCTCGGTGAGAGCCGTGAAGGGAACATCTCGCAGGTGGTCCCATTGCGCTGCCGCATTCGCCCAGTCAACAGCCTTCAAGTTGCTTGCGATGCTTTCAATAGTTAGCGCCGTTAATTTGGACTGGAATGTTCCGTCAGCGCTTTCCACTGTGATGTTGACCGGCGTCGTGACGAATGTTTCCGTCAACCCGCTCAGAAGAGAAACTGATGCCTGCTGCGGTCTTCCTGCCACCCTCAACTGGCCGGCAGCTGCAGTGGTTATGTAGGTGGTAGTGCTGCAATCGTCCAACATAGCGTTAACCCGTATCCGTACTCCTTCATGCACAAGCGACACCGGGAGGATGCGTAACGAGACCGAAGGTACTCCACGTGGCCGATCTTCTCCCAGATCCGGCTCCCCTTCCGTGATGTTGCATGCTTGGATGGAGCAATTAATAGAGGCTGGCTCTATTGCAGGTGTTGTTGCCCCTCTTGTGCTGATTGAAGCTGTGGGAGCGCTTGACGATGCTACATCACTGCTCATGGCTGCTTCAGACAGGTTCCGTTTCTGCTGCGGTTGACGATCATGAAGCAGCTGGTGATGTGTCTGACTGCAGCCACTGACACCGCACTTCCTGTTTCTGGTACAGGATGTCCCTCGATGTCCAGTGCCAAGGCACCTATAGCAGAGGCCTTTCTTCTTTGCTGTTTCCCACCGCCTGCTGGGCGACTCGCTCTTGAAGATGTCACAACTCCATGTGTGATGAGGCGCATCACATACTGCACACTGGATTTTGGCAGCGCTCTGACCAGAGACCAGAAATGACGACGCGTGGGCTCCGGAACTGCCACCGAACGTTGGTCGACTTCTTGCAGGGGCTGGTTTAGTCGGCACCGCCGCTGCATGATGACCATCCACAGAACTGACTCCGTGGGCCATCTCCGCTGCTCCAGTAGCGAATTCTGCCTCGAGAGTCACCCATTCCAATAGCGTTGGTACACTGCTGGGTTTCGTGTTGTTGTGACGCCAACGGTTAAACTGGGTCAGCATGGCCATCGGCAGCTTGTTTTGCAGCTGTCGGAACAGAAGACCATCGCCCAGCTCATATTCCTTGCCTGCATCCACCATGTTCACTATCAGCACATCCAGCAAATCGGCGAATCTCTGCAGGTCTCCAGGCCGGCCTGTCCGGAGGGCGGGGAACGACTCTATTTCCTCAAATTGGAGGTTTGTCTGTCTCTGCTTGCCACCAAATTTCCTATCTAAACGGTTTACGGCGGCTTCGTAGGCATGGGCCGAGTAACCTAGGCTCTCGATGGCGACCAATGCCTCTCCACCTAAATACTGCTTCAGGTGCAGGAGCTTCACCTCCGGACTTGAGCTCGTCTGCCCAACACAAGCCATGAAGGCTGCTCTCCAGGCACGATAGGCTCTCTTGTTGCCTGTAAACGTTGGAATTTGTATGGGTTTCAGCCGCCGGAATATCTCGTCCGATGACTGCTGATGCCGTGTTTGGCCTGGTGCTACTGATGGCACCGGTACTGGTGCGGCAGTCGACCCTGCTGGTTGCAAACCCATGGCCTGTGGAGCGGGCGGGCTCCACAGACTTGCTGCTGGCACAGTGTGCATGCCGGCCACACCACTGGCGCCAGCCCACTGCCGAGACGCAGATGTAATTACTGGCGACTGAGTAGTGGTGTGACGGGTGTCAACGGATTGCTGGAATAGCGTGGCAGAAGCGGATCCAGGCGGCCTGCCAATTGCGCTGAATAGCGTTGCAGGTACGGATGATCCAGGCAGTCTGTCGATTGCGCTGCTTCCGCTGACTATCTGCTGGGATGCAGGCATCTCTGGCCTCATTCCGTTTGCGCTGTTGGCGCTGGCAATCTGGAGTGCTAACGTTTCAGCGGGTGACACAGGTAGAAATCCCCAAGGCGCTGATCCTGCAGCTAGCGCAGAGGTCACAGGCTGTGCGCTGTCCGCGCTGGTCTGAATTTCCGACGCGTGCACAGGCCCGGATCCAGGCGGCCTGCCAATTGCGCTGAATAGCGTTGCAGGCTCGGATCCAGGCGGCCTGCCGGTTGCGCTGAATAGCGTTGCAGGCTCGGATCCAGGCGGCCTGCCGATTGCGCTGAATAGCGTTGCAGGCTCGGATCCAGGCGGCCTGCCGGTTGCGCTGAATAGCGTTGCAGGCACTGGTGCAGACTCTGGATCTGACGCATGTGGTGCGCCGCTCGCGCTCATCTGGGGAACAGCCGCGGACAAAGGCGGACCGCTTGTCGCTCTGTTCGCGCTGTCCAAGTGCCC